TATACACACATTTACAGTACAGGTTTTGTGAGATGACTTCCAGATGATTCAGTTTTATCTAGACATAGCTTCTGTGAAAAGCAGGCAGTGATTCCTTGTATTTCTGTGGACCTTTCTGAATGCTGCTGGAATGTCTGCCCAACAATCTAATACATTGGCATTGGCGTACAGACAGTGAGAGGTCACTCTGAAGGCCTTCTGATTGAAGACACCTTTTCAGGATTCATACAGTTCAGGATAATGTTCTGGCTGGCTACCTACGATATTTTGCTCTGCCTCACTAATGACAAGGGACTTAATAACTAGCTGGAGAAGGAAAGTTCAGATGAAATGGTAATCAGAAGTTTTGATTTATTTCCTCTTAATTCCTAGAAGGGCATAATCCCTTTTATAAGCCATATAAGTTTGATACTATGGCTCAAGGCAAAGAAAAGATGACCCTCAGAGAAGCAAAGAATAGTATTCTTCAACTAAGTATGCAGTTCTGCTTTAAAATGGAACCAGGAAGGACAAGAAGAAATCAGAAGCTTTCTAGGTAGTCCGCCGAAAAAATACAAATAATATGAAAATAGATATCAACATCTATCTGCTCACCTGTCCACCTGTCAAAAGACTGAAATAAATTCCTAATGTTAATGAAATTTTTGACTTTAGATGATGCAGGATATAGAGTCTAAGCCTACTATGAAATTTCTTAGATAAGTTTTTTCAGCCAAAGTCTCAAAACAAGTTCCATAGCAAACTAGTGCCATATGAAGTACAGAAAAGAGGTCAGCACGCATACCTCAGTGGTACAGCATAATAAGGAAAACATGGGACTCTGGTGCCAATTTAAGACTATGTGTTCCTGGAGTTTGATGATGAGCTGTCTTTTTTGGAATTGTTGCAGGCCCTTTAAGACAACATACACTTTTCATGGAACGGGGTATAGAAAGAGAGCCTCCCTAATTATTAACTCACAATGGAGGGGAAGTTCCACTCCAGGGCAGTGCTATAAGAAACGAGAATAAAACTGATGATTATTAACATTTATTGATTACTTTCTAAGTACCAGGCACTTTGCCAAACACTAACAAGCATTATTTCATGAAATCCTTCCAATAGCTGTATAAATAAAGGCTCTTATTATCTTAGTTTTACAGATAAAGGAAGTGAGATTTGAAATTAGATTTAAAGACCTTAGGTAAATTGAACAAGTTTGCATAGACATTGAGTAATAGAACCAAGACTCAAAGCTGGATTGTGTGCTTCCAGAGCCTGAGATCAGATGGTGCCAAAGAAGAGTCGATAGAACCCTGGTAGAATTTTTCTCAGACTCGAGCCTCCTGGAGAAATCCTAATGATGAGGCTACTCACATGTCTCTTAGAACTTATGAAGCTGGAAACAGAGTCCAGGGAAGAAATGTGGTGGAGGACATTGACATCTGTTTTGTAGACCTCACTTCTCTCTTGTCAGCACTGTTCACCCTGGAAATGTAGGCTGGAAAGGTATGGCTGTTTGGATTATATGAGCGCTAGTTCAAAATGATGATTTTTTGTGTAAACATAGGACGTTCAATAAACCAAATCATATCCATTTTTCTCCTTTACTAATTACAAATGTGGTAAATCACTGCCTTAGAAGGGCAGTGATCCTCAAACTTTAGGGTTTTTCAGAATCCCCTGGAAGATCTGTAAAAACACAGATTACTGGTCCTCAACCCAGAGTTTCTGATTTAGACATCTGTGTTGGAGTTTGAGAATCTGCGTCTCTAGTGAATCCTAATTTGAATTCTAATGAGTTGGTTCCATAGTTTGGATATGTATCGCCTCTAAATCTCATGTTGAACTGTAATCCTCAGTGTTGGAGGTGAGGCCTGGTGGAAGGTGACTGGATCATGAGGGCAGATTTCTAACAAATGGTTTAATATCCTTTGGTGCTGTCGTTGTGATAGTGAGTCCTGAGTCCTCTGAAGATCTTGTTGTTGTAAAGTGTGGTACCTGCTTCCTACTCTCTGTCTTGCTCCTGTTTTTCCATGTAAAGTGCTTGCTCCCACTTCACCTTCCATCGTAAGTAAAAACTTCCTGAGTCCCTCCCAGAAGCAGATGCTGGAGCTATGCTTTCTGTACAGCCTGCAGAACCACTAAGTTCAGCCTCTTTTGTTATAAATTACCCAGTCTCGGGTATAGCAAGGCAAGGACTGGCTAACACAGTTGGTGACCTATTACTGTCCTTCCTCTCTGGAGTATACACAGATTCACAATCCGGATTTTATAAGCTGGCTCTGAGATAATGCAGTTTTCTCTGAATGAAGCTCCCGAGAAAAGCAGGCCATGTTGCTGATGCCCCTGGGATCACACTTTGAAAACCATTGCTCCAGAGTGGAGATTTTCAACTAAATTTGCACATGAGAACTGCCTAGTGTACAATTTTTTAAACGCTGATGCCTGAAGTACTACTCCAGACCAATTAAATCAAAATATCCGTGGATGAAGTTCAGGCATCGGCATTGTTACACTCCTCTCCCATCACCCATTGATTAATCTAATGTACAACATGAATCGAGATCACAGAGAATAAGTTTGTGTGTCAGTGACAGAAAATTAAGGGTATGTCTCTGCTAAGACTTGACTCTGAAGTACCTGTACATTACTACAGGAGTTTAAGGAATAGTGAGTAGTGAGGTCTTGATATCAAATCATTATGAAATTTTAATCTCCGAATCATATAGATAACAGCTGGTATAACAGGCTTGCTTTTCTTTGATGACATGTTACAGTGTACTTTTAAATAGGCAATGCAGTTCTTGTTTCTTCGATAGAGAGGACACACGTTACAGAAGTTTGATGAGAAAACTAAATTTTCCTGGTCATAGCTGGAATGGTGTATTATGCGTGCATGTGTGTGTGCCCGTGTGCATGTGTGTAAGACAGAAAAGAATTGCGTTAGCCGGGCGCGGTGGCTCAAGCCTGTAATCCCAGCACTTTGGGAGGCTGAGGCGGGTGGATCACGAGGTCAAGAGATCGAGACCACCCTGGTCAACATGGTGAAACCCGTCTCTACTAAAACTACAAAAAATTAGCTGGGCATGGTGGCGCGTGCCTGTAGTCCCAGCTACTCAGGAGGCTGAGGCAGGAGAATTGCCTGAACCCAGGAGGCGGAGGTTGCGGTGAGCCGAGATCGCGCCATTGCACTCCAGCCTGGGTAACAAGAGCGAAACTCCGTCTCTAAAAAAAAAAAAAAAAAAAAAAAGAAAAGAATTGCGTGCACTTTTTAATGCCCATAGCAAAGCTAATTAGTTGCTTATTATAGCTGTTGCCTGTTTACCTCAGGAGGGTTTTTATCGCTATCGATATAGTCAATTTGTTGTTATCAATTCCCGCAGTTTCAGTTTTACTTTATTCCTGCTTAAAAAGATGTGTTTTCCCTTGCAGTTATGGTTTACCTAAATTTTCTTAACCTCTTTCATGTATATATGCATTCATTCCTTAATTCAATCATTCAACATACAAACTAGGACAAATAAACCCTAAAAATCTATTACGGTCTCAGGCTATATTTCATATATATATTTGAATATATATTTTCTATGTGTATATATATATATTTAGAAAACAGAATTCATTCAGAGTAGTTTTCTTCTTTAAACTCCCAAATGTTTGAATTAAACACGTTTCTATCCTTCACTCCAATTAACATTTATTGGCATTTAGTGCCAGACCCTAGCACTATGTTCTAGGCACTATGGAACTCAGAGTGAACAAGATAGCAAAGCCCTTGTTCTCATGGAGTTGGAAAAAGAAAGAACAAATAAATAAGAAGGTAACATCCTATAATTAATAATTAAAAGAGTTGATGTGAGAGGATGTAACAGGACTTGCTTTAAACTGAGTTGTCCAGGAAGATTCATTAAGGAGGTCAAATGGATGCTGAGACCTCAGTGACAAGAGGGAGCCAATCATGCCCAGGGAAAGAGCCAGGGAAACAGCATTACAGGCAGAGACAAAATTAAGATAAAGGACCTGAGATGGATCGGAGTGTGCCTTGTTCCAAGATCAGAGAGAAGACAGTGGGCTGGACTACAGTGCACAAAGTAAAAAAATGGGACAAGGATTTTGAATGTACATGAAGCTTGAGATGCCTGTTAGACACCCAAGAGGAGGTATCAAATAGGCAAGTGCTTCTCAAAGTTGTTTTGCGTATGAGTCATACGAGGATCTTGCTTAAAATGCAAACTGTGATGCAGTAGATATGGAGTGAAATCTCAGATTCTGTATTTCTCAAAAGGTTCCAGGGGATGATCCTGCTGGTCCTGGACTACATGTTGAGTTGTGAGGATGTAGACAGCTGTGCATTTGTGAGTCTGCAGTCAAACATAAAGAGAAGAAAGAGGCCAAAAAAAAAAAAAAAAAGGTAGAGAAAAGAAAACCAGAAAAGAAATTCTCTTTAAGCTATCAAAGGGATGGAGATGGTTTGTGCGGAGAACGGTTACAAAATACCTGCCACAAGCTTTCTCATAGTACATGTGATGTGGTAGCATCAGCGTATTCATGGAAGTGACTCAGCAGGCTGACGTGGATGCTATGTAACTGGGCTCTAGACTGTACTTGGAGTTTCTGACTACTTGCTCTGCCTTTCAAAGTCCATGGTTTTCATTTCAAAACAGCAATGTTTTCCCCTTAATTGTTACTATAAGCAGTTTGTAACAAGAGATGCTTTGCCAAATATCTCAGATCAAGAACTGTGCAGCTTTGTAAGAAATAGGAAGTCAGTCTCCTCAGAATATGGGGTACATATCTAGCTGTACCCGCTAAGGGCAGGTGTCCCATTACTGCCACAGTGTGCAGGGTCATATACTTCATGAGAAGAGATGCACAGGGAGATGGAACTGAAAAAGATTCATTAGCAGCTTGGATTTTGTCTGCTCCCTGCATTTCCCCCAACTCCCAAAACAGAGAATTGCTCTCAGTATTCCTGCTTCAGAACCATGCAATGTAATTATAATCAGTATTTCTCTTATTTTCTTGAATTTATTTTTTTCAATGGTTTTAATGAATATTTCCTAGAAAGTTCACAATACTCATTTCTATTTTTCAATTTTTATTCAAATTTATTCAAAGATCATATCACCTGGCTATTACTAGAGAGGCCTAAATAAATACTAGAACTGACATTTCAGACCCATGTGTCATAGTACTGCCCCCATAAAATTTGCATAGGTTACAGAAATGTTTTTCTTGAATAGTTCTCCTGCTCCTCATCTCTGTCTTTGATATATTAAAGCTTATAGTTTCTGGCAGTAATTTCTAGGACAATAAACAAAATTTCAGCCACTTCAACTTTTGAAATAACCACTAAAATAGTCAATCCCCCAAAATTGTGTGATGTAATCAAAGCACCATGAATCAAAGGAAAACACGCATTTCATTAACTTAAAACTATCTTAATATTCTTAGGATTACAATGATATTTCCTTCTGCTATTTGAAAGTGATCTGAAAAGTATAAAAGCAGATTATGATACCTGTATCAACCTATTCTTATCACTGCAATTTAGACATCAGGACAAAAATAATAGCTTACAATTTCTCAATAGTTGAGTAACACCATGCTGGTTTTTACTATAAGTGATGAAAGGTAATGTATGGTAAACTGGAGGCATGTAACAAACACAGGAGGTTGTAATATGTTTCCAGGATGTGGCATCTTGCCATTGGCCACAGCCTCTTGGAAGCAGATAAAGTCACTGAAATAGTTAACAGATGTTAGCCATACTCGAAATATGAAAGTTCTATTGCTAAAATTATGTAGGGTCAGATGGAGATTTGGCTTTTGGTCCATAACTTAACTGACTTGGCAAATGAATAGTTGAGATCCAGAGGCATAACGAATGATATTGAGGCCACACACTCTGCACACTACGCAGGAGCTCGTAAACTACTGACAATGTGTACACTGTGCTAAGCCTGCCTGATTAAGTATTAACACAGTATCTGATTCTTGGGGAAATATGAAGTCGATTTTCCAGTCTACTAAATTAAAAAGTTATTTCTACAAGCGCAACAGAGAACTTTTTTCCAGGTTCAAAAGTATGACAACAAGTTTATTATTTATCCTCAGCTTGCCATTTACCTGATGACTGATACTGCTTTTTGTTGACTTAATCTATCCAGTTATAATCTTTTTGAAAAGTATCTCTTTTTTTTGCCACCCTTGTCTATTATTTCACATATCAGAGCAAGTTGACATTAATGATTTTCAGATGAGTATTGTAGCTGAAATTGATCTTCTCAACCTTAACTCTTAAATCCACTGAAGTCAAGCATTGAAGGAGGCTTGTGCTACTTTAGAGTTAGTGGTTTTATTCACAGCTTTGCAAATAAAGTCACCAGCTTCCATCACTTTGTGTAGATTCACACCCTGGTGAGGAAAAGAAAGAATACCAGGAAGGCAGAGGAATTAGAGAAATAAAAGACAAAACATAGCCTTTTAAATTTTATTAGTAGTTACTTAACCACTTAAAATTCCTAAACAAAGTGGTGTTGGTATTATCAATTCTGGGGCAACATTTGTTTTCATGAATAATGTTGTCAACATTTTAGATTTTTCTGCTTTATTACAGCATATCTTGAATTTGACCCTTGTCTAATAATATAGGTAGACACACTTGAATAACATCATAATTCAGGCTGGTATCTAAAGTCTAGGAAGGACAATAATGGAACTACAAAAACAGTCTACAAAACATCACTGAAGGACAATGAAGTGATAATGTTTTGGGGAAGTTTATAGATAAGAACTGACTTAGAAAAAAAAACACTATCCTCTATGAAGAAACAAACTTGAAAAAGCTGTAAGGATTACAGAAAAGGTGAATGCATATATATACATATATGTTTTTTAAATCAAGGTCAGAAACACTAGTATGATATTGAAGAAGGTAGTCGCAAGTGAAATAAAATGAAGTAGTATTTAGTACACATCTGGAACTTGTTTGCCTGAGAGGTTGCACCGTCTGAAAGAATAAACAGAATCAACAAAAGCTTAGGAAAATCCACGGATGACAGATATGCAGTTGGGTATTAAGGCCAAGTTCAGGGCATGGTCTTGGCTTTGGTGTAATGAAAGGGTCACTATCAAAGTCTCCACCCAGCACTTTTGTTGTCTCAGGAGGAGGCAAAGCATTAGGAGGATTAAGCACAATCTTGCCCTTACAAGGCATTTCATAAGCTTCTATGTTCTCCCTCAATATGAACTAGAAACACTGTGGGCTTAAAATGAAAAATAGTCAGCTTTCCTTGCTTTTAAGAAGTACTCTTTAATAGCTATGGAAACGTATCACGGCTTTTCATAACCGAATATCATTTTAGAAATTAGAGGCATTTCAATATAGCTAATTATGTATCTCTTTAAAAATTAAAAATATTTTGTAAAATGACACATAAATTATTTTCATGATGTGTTTTTATTATAAAGTTGCTTTCAGGATCCTAACATTTCCTTTGGTTTGAGAAATTTGGTTTTGTCATAGTAATGGATTTATGTGGAGTATTTGTTAGGCACATTTTTAGTTTAACATCCTTAATCCAATGATACTTAAATTCCATAAACAATTAACTTCGGATGCCTTTCACTTATAAATTACAGCCAGCAAGGGTCGATAGAGAGATATTAGTCATTAATGTTTTTCTTCTCTTTGCAGTAATTCCATTTGTAACAATTATGCAGTGGAATTTGTTGGTTTCACAGCAAAAAAGATTTTTGTTTTGGCTTTTCTCTACCACTTTAATCAATAGATATCATTTTGAAACAACACTGTATGTATTCTTAAATCATTTAGCAGGTGCTTAAATATGCCTCATGTACTATGATAGGTTGTGGAGTTTCAAGAACCTCATGTGGAATGTGGTTTCTGCCTTCATGATCAAGCAGGCAATATGGACTCATAACAGAAAATTCTGTACCATAAAGCCACAAATAGAGATATGCCCAGGTTATTATGGAGGCAGAGATGTGAGGCCACCAACCCACTGAGGGGGAAATAAAGCAGAAGGAAATATGTCAGGGAAAGGTGCCAAGAAGGGTAAAGCCTGACCCGAGTTTTATACCAAAAGTATAAAAGAGGATGGAGGATGTATGGGGCACTGTTCATAGGCAGAGAGAAGAGCAGTCCAAGATACCTTAATAATATCATGGCATAGATGGATGAAGATGAAATAAACCATTAGTACTGGAAAAAGTAATAATAGGTCAGATGGTGTGATAGAGCACAGCCTTGCTTTCAGGAAATTAGAATCCACTGATGAGTGCTCAAGGAGAAGTAGAGCCTATTCATACTTGTATGTTAGGTGTAATCCTTTGATGGTAACCTGGAGGATAGTTTTAAAGGCAAGTCTGGAGCCAGTGATGAGCATAGAGGATGAACGCTCAGGAAAGGGATGCCAACCTGCATCAGTGTAGTCACAGCAGTGTAGTAAAGAGGGGACAAACAACCCAAAGCTATCAGTGGATTTCAATTTAGTCGTCTAAATTCCTAAGAAAGGAACTATTTATGCTCATTTTATGTCATTGGCTTCTGATAGTAATGATTAAAATATGATATAAATGAAATAATATTTATTTCTCACCAGAGAAGATAAGCAATAGCTTTTGGTGTTTACAGGCAACAGCTGCTGGTGTTTAGTGCCAAGTGAAATCAGTCTTTCTATAAATATTTATTGAGCGTCTTTATGCCATAGGTAACAGGTATGAATAAGCTGTCATAATTGCTCTGTGGTTGCATGGGAAGATAGACACATAAACAAGATAATGCTATAACCTTTTGGTAAGTTTAGAGGGACTACAGAGGGGAACAAGAAAACATTAAGGGGAGGGACGAACAATTTGACCTGGGGACAGACAGGGAGATGCTAGATGGCATTTTTTTAGGATGGTGGTGACTGACTTTCCAGGTGAAATGGAATATGAGGTATAAAGCCATTTCATGTGGTAGTAGAAACCTGAGCAAGGGGTAGAAGTGAGGAATAAAATGCTCTAAAACTGTAGACTTGAAGCAAGTTTAAGCTGCAGGCATGTCAGTGTAAGTAGACTGATGGAAAAGGAGGGATAGGAGAAGCAGGGAGTAAAATCCATTTTATAATACAGATGATGATTTTACATCTCAGAAAGAAATTATAAATGTCTAATCATCTGTGATTTTTATATCTTTTTTAAATAAAGCTATTCCATAGACTAATAGGTCGTGCTAACAATCATAGGACAAAACAAGATGCTGATTGTGATGGATGTGGTTATCCAGCGCGTGACTTTTCAGGTACAACTTGCAAAGAGACTATTCTTGCCATCCAGGGTCTCACATGCTAAGTATTATGAAGCTCCTCTTTTTCACTGATGATTTACAAAGTGTCCTGGAATTTTTTCCAGAAGCCGTAGTTGTCACTGTGACAATCAAGATCTCCGTTTTATCCAAGAAAAACTTTCATACAAAAAACAAAACTGCAAAACTCAAAAATCATAAGAGCAAAGACACAGACTCCAACTCACAAAGTGTATAAAATCGAATCAGATAATACATGAAAAAGTACTTTAGAGGTCATGAAGCACTATAAAAATGTGAAATAATAGCATTATTGGTGATTGAGCTATAGCAATGAGTTAATTCATGAAGCCCCCAAAAGAATTTTTATTGTATTTTCCTACTGTGCATTTTAGCAAATAGCGAAAGTGTAGTAAAACGTTGACCTCAAAATTGCTTCCCACATCTGAGAAGCATTGCAATTTGGGGCTGCAAGGAATGCATGAATATTAAAATATGTTAAAGCAACTTACCGTATTGAGCCCCAGGCCATGAAGCATATATATCAAATCCTCAGTGGCTACATTCCCAGAAGCACCCTTTGCATAAGGGCAACCACCTAATCCGGATACTGCAGAGTCCACCACATTAATTCCCATCTGGAAAAGAAACCAAACCACCTAAAGCTTGTACATTTATGGCATGTAAATTGTTGCATTTCTAGTTAACCTGTGGTAAAGAGCAAATAAGCAAAATCTCAACTGGTTATTCAAATATGTTACTTACCCAGCGGCCTCTAGAACAGTCCCTGGAGTGCTTATTTCTTTTATGGCTAATCTTGTCTCTGAGGCAACAGAAACTCTACTAAGCCTCTCTGGAACTAGAATAATCTTTGATCAAAAGTAAAATGGTATTGTTTGTTGATAACAGCTCAACTGTACGTGGTGAAGCTCAGAGTAAGGTTAATTTGCTTCAGGTTTTCACATATTATCCAATTCTCAACATGAAATATTTTCAACATTTTGAATTCAACATCGAAATGCCTTAGATGACTGGTATGTGTAGGGGAGAGGAGAGAGAAGTCACTGGGTTTGAAATAGGATTTTGTGGGCCCACTTTACTCATTCGACTTACCCAATCTTTATTCATAGAATCATTACTTTGTACACAAAACTCCACTGCTTTAGAAGAAGGAAGAAATAATTAAGAGGCAAAACACTCGCCACCAGCCTTAACACCAGCTCATATTTATTGGGTCCTCAGTAAGTGCTGGATGCTGTTATTAACAAATTATGTGTATTAATTCACAATTCTCCCCAAAACTCATTCTTTCTGTGAATTGGGGATGCTTGTATCATCCCCAATTCACCAAAAGAAAACTCAGGTACAGAGGGATCAAACAATTTACCTAGAGTCAACATCTGGTAGGTGAAGTCCTCTGTCTCCAGGAAATCTACACTCTGCCTTGATGTATAGCTTTTGGGAACATGAGAGTTGGCATATGATCGTGTGCTTAGGAATATCATAGGTAGAAGGGCTCTGTGTGTGCTGGAGAAGTTATGGAAGACATGAGCACAACAGGGCCTGAGAAGGGTCCTGGAGATCAAATGCTAATAATATGAGAAGAACAGAGACAGGCATGCCATTCCTCTGTGAAAGGTAACAGATTGGTAATCAGAAGGCACAGTAAAGGCTAATCTGATTCTTCACTCTTGGGCATTAACGAAAAAGTAACATGACCACATCGAAAATGAGAAGCACCTGGAAGCAGAGCTCTTGGTCAACCAGCTAGATAAGTGGTTCTTAATTACAGGTCGCTGCTACATCCTCAGAGGTTTTGATTCAGAAGGTCTGGGCTGGGACTTGACAATTTGAATTTCTGACAAGATCCTGATTGCTGATGCTTATGTGGGAATCTCTTTCTTTCTCCCTTCCTTCCTTTGCTTCTTTACTTTTTTTGATAAACTTTTGATTTTAAAATAGTTTTTGATTTTTACAAAATTTGGGAAGATAAAACAAAGTTCTTATGTATCACTCAGTTTTCTCTATGGTTAACATCTGTTACAGAAAACATTATTCAATAATATGTATTAAAGCACAGCAAAGATGACTTCTTTAGGAACACTGCAATAGGCACAGGGACCACATGCAATGCAGGAGAAATAGATTGTGCTGAAATCCAAATACAGCACAGGCAAGTGAGAATTTATGGCCAAGGAGTGGAGTTGGGGTCAGTGGATTAAAAATTACTAGAAAAGGTAAGGGTGAACAGAATTCTGGCTAAACTGACCTACCAGGATTTTTGCTGAAGACAGGTTAGGGTGATCAGACATGATCTTCGGGTTGGTGGAGGAGGAGAGACCTAATCAGATAGGGTGTTTAGATATTGAGTGTAGGGGTCCTTGTTAAAATGATTTAGCAGAAATTGCTGAAACTAGATTTTATGAGGAAGTGCAGAGGCGGGCTTAGAAGAAGTTTTAGAAGCCTGACTGAAGTTTAGTTTCTTTGTCATATCTTATATTATTATGGTCTATTTGTCATAACTAAAGAACACATATTGACATGTTTTTGTTCATTAGAATCCATACAATATTCAGATTTCTTTAGACATTTAAAAAGACATTTCTGTCTGAGCACAGTGGCTCACACCTGTAATCCCAGCCCTTTGGGAAGCCTAGGCAAGTGGATCACGAGGTGAAGCGATCCAGACCAGTCTGGCCAATATGGTGAAACTCCGTCTTTACTAAAAATCCAAAAATTAGCCGGGTGTGGTGACACACGCTTGTAGTCCCAGCTACTCAGGAGGAGGAGGCAGGAGAATCACTTGAACCCGGAAGGTGGAGGTTGCAGTGAGCCAAGATTGCATCATTGCACTCTAGCCTGGTGACAGAATGAGACTCCCTCTCAAAAAAAAAAAAGAAAAAAAAATTCTAAAGAATTTTTTAACTAATGTCTTCTATCTGTTCTGGGAGCTTACCATATGTCAGTATACCATATGACATTAGTAGTCAGGTATCCTTAGGCTCCTATGAGCTGTGACAGTTTCTCTGAACTGTTTTGAGTAGTACAAGCCATGTTTGTTTGTTTGTTTGTTTGTTTTTGTGAGACAGAGTCTTGCTCTGTCACCCAGGCTGGAGTGTAGTGGTGCGATCTCGGTTCATTGCAACCACCGCCTCCGGGGTGCAAGAGATTCTCCTGGCTCAGCCTCTTGAGTAGCTGGAATTATAGGCACATGCCACCATGCCAGGCTAATTTTTGTACTTTTAGTGGAGATGGGGTTTCACTATGTTGGCCAGGCTGGTCTCGAACTCCTGACCTCAGGTGATGTGCCTGCCTTGGCCTCCCAAAGTGCCAGTCATGTATTTTGTACAGTGTCCTTCAATTTGGTTTTGTCTAAGTTTTTCTCATGTTAAGACTGGAGTTAAAGAGTTTTGGGAGAAGACCACAGAGGTGAAGTGTCATCCTCAAAGCGTTATATCAAGGATACATAATATCAATATGAGTTATGATGGCTGATATTAACCTTTATTTTCTGGCTGAGGTGGTAGCTGCCTGGTATCTGCAGTATAAAGTCTCCCCTTAGTCTTTCCATATTGTACGTTTTGGAAAAATGTCACTATGCATAGCTTACAATTAAAGAATAAGGAGTATCTACACAAAAACTTAGAACTTTCTTCTTTACGGGAAATTTGTCCATTTTCTCATATTTATTTATTCTTACATATATTTATGTCAGCGAGAACTCATAGGTAATTATAGGCATTTATTTTGCACTTTGGGTTATAATCTAATGCCAATTTATATCTTTTGTTGTGCAAATTGTTGAACATATGGCCACTGGGAGCTTTTTCAGTTGGGTCCTGTGTCCTTCAGGCATGCCGGAGGGACTGTGAGTTTTGAACCACTTTCCTAGAGTTTCCTTTGCAAGACTTAAAAGGGTACTTACCAAGTCTCACAAAGGAAGAACTACAGTCCTTAAAAAGCCCTAGAATTCTTTGGGACCTAAGGTAAGTTTAAAAAGGATAGACTTTTTTTTTTAACCTCCATTTCTTCTTATACTCTTCAACATGGAAAGGCCTCCATTGCTTTCTTTCCATTACCACAACATATGTTACATATTGACCTGACAACCTTAGTCATATTCAGCAGTAAAATACTGGTACACTTAGGACAGTTTTCATTTCCTATGTACCAAAGCAGGAAGAATAAGGAATTATACTCTAGAAGTGAAATTTGTGGCATTGTCCGGTAGTTGGAAAAGGCAAGTATTAAGATGTTGGCCCATCTCTGGGAGTCTGCCATGATAGAAACAGGCAGGGGCATTTATTTACTTAGATGTTAAAACCGATCTATTCGGTGCACCTGAATGTATCAACTTAGGAGCCAGAAATTTCCATGATTCTGCTCCTGTCATCCCCTTAGAATCACCTGGAGCCCTTTTCAAACGACTAATGCCCAAGCTTCTCCCCAAGCCAATAAATCAGAGTCTCTGTCCTAAAATCCTCCATGATTCTCAAACCCCTAAAGTAGAGTTTCTTATCTTTCCCACCCTTTATCAATCCCGGAGTATGAGTCAGCTTTAACTTTAGAGAAGCTTTGTACCCTGGGGCAGCAAACAGTTAACCAAGACTGGTCAGCATTTCAAGAAAACCAGGTTTTGAAAGAAGACCTAAAATAGTATGAATTAGCAAGTCAGAGGAATCAGCCTGATAGGTGAGAAATAGCTTCAGCCTGAAATGTGGATGATTCACTTTTGGGATCTGGAATCCACGTATCATGTTCCTTTTCACTACTGAGGATCAAGACCCTGCAACTACAGGAGTCCCAGAAGGGAAACTTGTTACCTTGTCAAAAGAACAGTTTTTAGTCTTAATTGGCCTTTTGGGAAAGAGTGAGGAAACAACAGCCATTCTTCTATTTTGTAACTAAAGGCCAATGTAACCTATTTGGGAAAAAGTGAAAGATGTATTTACAATAGAGAAACCAGTATTACCACAGAGGAACAATAAATGACCAGTGTCACACTAAAGCAAATATAAATAACCAGGAAAGCCCCCCCAAAAAAAAAGTTCCATCTCACATTAAATCAAAGATTTTGAGTGAAAACTATAACACTGAATTTTACACTTTCAGACAACAATTAAAAAAGAATGTTGGCGGCCGGGCGCGGTGGCTCAAGCCTGTAATCCCAGCACTTTGGGAGGCCGAGGTGGGCGGATTGAGACCATCCTGACCAACATGGTGAAATCTCATCTCTACTAAAAATACAAAAATTAGCTGGGCATGGTGGCATGAGCCTGTATTCCCAGTTACTCAGGAGGCTGAGGCAGGAGAATTGCCTGAACCCGGGAGGCGGAGGTTGCAGTGAGCCGAGGTTGTGCCACTGCACTCCAGCCTGGTGCCTGGTGACAGTGAGACTGTCTCAAAAAAAAAAAAAAAAAAAAATGTTGGCAACAAAACAGTATAGTATAGATCTAAAATATATAAAACACTTAAAACACTCTGCAACTTCAACAATATGGACTAATTTCACAAACAGAAGCTTGTTTGAAAAAAGGCTCAAAAGAAGACATATCATATGATTTCATGAAGATAAAGTCCTAAAATAGACCACACTAATCAAAGCTTTGAAAGGCTAATAGTTATCCTTTGAAGTGTG